CTCTCTCGATCTAGCATTGGCATGCAACGATGGGAAGACATTGTCGATGAGTGTGTTAATAGCTTTCTCATCCTCGGTATAGCCGATCACAATGTCGTCAGGGAGACGCACATAGTCGTCGCCAATTGTCTCTTCTGTTCCATTGCCGATCCGTAGGAGGTATTCAGAGAACCAAGGATCAGCCTGTGCTCGCATATTGCACGTGAGGCGTATCTTCCGGGTCTTCTCCCACAGATAGGATCTTAGAAGTGTAGCATCCGTGATCTGTGCTCTTGTCCCACGTGTCACAACGGGGAGGACCTGCCTGAAATCCCCACCAAAGACGACAACCTTTCCCCCAAATGGCAAAGAACAGTCCATTATGTCCTGCAGGGATCTATCAAGCGTCTCAACTGCTTGACGTTTTGTCATAGCGACCTCGTCCCAAATTATCAAGGAGGCTTGTTTAAGCAACTCCGCTGTACCACTCTGCTTTGTGAAACTACACATGATGTTGTCAGTGAGCTTGATTGGAATTTTGAACCTGGAGTGCGCAGTCCGTCCTCCGGGCATTATTGACGCCGCTATACCTGATGTAGCAGTTGCAATCGCTATCTGGCCCATCGAACGCACCTTTGCAAGCAATGCCTTGTACAAGTATGTCTTGCCGGTGCCTCCTGGACCATCAACAAAGAATATCTGGCTTTTGTGTTCCATCACATGATCCATGATTTCATTGAAACCAGCCAGCTGTTCATTGTTCAAACTACTAAATAAATCTAGGTGTTCTTTGTCCACGCTGACTTGCCTCTCCTCTGTTACCTCTTTGTACTCACCATCAGAAGAACCATCGTTCTCAACCAAATCCGGAAGTCCATAGCTTGTAATATCTTTTCCCATGGATTGCAACATATCCCTGATATCTCTGAGGACCATCTACTCAAGTGTTGCCTCATTGGATTGATTACGCCGGTAATCCTTAGACATTGATGCCAGGTGTTTGTCCCACAGCTGCCGGATTTCTGTTGCCTCGCAAAACACCAGTATAGTTGCAAATAACCGTCTTAGGGCAGAAGACATCTGAAATGTGGCTGCCTCCGTCATGCAATCATCAAGAGTCCTGCCGTGCTCAATAAGGCCTAAGTGCTCACATGCCTCCCTGAAGGAACTGCATGGCTTGCCATTTACTGTTTTTAAATCATCGAATGAAGTGGCACCTCAGACATGACTTAGGAGCACACGCAAGTAGTACCTCTCTCCTTCAGCAGGGTGTGCATGCACAAGTCTTCCAATCTGTGATCACTTATTTCTTCTATTCTGCCACTTCTTATTTCCAGGTATCCATCTATAATGTTCTGGAAACTCTCTGTACAACCATTTTCTGAATACCTATTTTGTGCATACCGCTCCCTGTTCCTTTGCCTCCTCAACTCCTTAGGGTCTGCATATATGTGTAATAAAGTTAATTAGTATGAACACATAGGGTTGTATATACTTTGTTGATCAGCATTACCGATGTACATGGGCACCGGTGTAACTGTTTCATTTTCTTGTTCATTGACATCGCCATCCACACCGGTCATTTCAATATCACTATAGGCTTGATGTTGTCTCTCGAAGACACCATCTATGTTCTGTGAATACTGTATCCCAACCAGTTGGCTCTGCAGTTCGTTAGGGTCCATATCTATGACATATTGTTGTTAGTTTGGTGCATGCATCTTATAAGTTTTTGGACCAATACATAAGAATGCAGTGTAAGGGAAATTTTACCTCGGGCCAACGGCTGGGGTGTATGAGGTACATTTTGATCGACATTAAGCAGTGTTGTTGAAGCCTGTTTCTTCTCACGGGCCTCACGCCGTCTTTTAAGGATATCATCTTTATTGCGTGCATAGTACTCTCTGTTCCTCTGCTTCTTCAATTCTTTGGGGTCTGCATAAGTAGATACCGCAAGTTAGGATAGAAGTACATACCGCAAGTTAGGATATAAGCACCAACAAATACAGTATGACATTTTTAGGAAAAGGCTGACGATAATTACCCAATAGTCGGTTGTTACTTAGATCCTGAAATGGGGTGCGCGCTCCCGCACTCTTGGGATATGACATACCCTTGGCCTACATATGAATATTGCTATCATAAAAAATTGGGAAGTTGATAATGTGCTTCATCAAAGCCGTATTTACATTATTAATAGGAAGTTGTAATGGCAGGTCTCCTTGCAGGACCACTCTCAGTGGTTGGCCCTCCTGTTCACTTACACAAAAACAGAAGGCAGAAGATGATATTGGCCCTACTGTTGAGCCGCAAACATAGAATGTTGCTTTGGCAGGTACAGAAATTGTGATTTATTGGTGCGGAAATTAACTTCTATTCTTTATCCTGACGTATCTACTTGGGACAATGAAGCTATATTTTTTATCCCCACTGCTAGATGTAATCTAAAATATGAATTGCTATTTTAGTTCATGCCAGGTATAGGACATAGGATGCATGTGTCAGTTAGGCTGGAAATCGCTACAGATGTGTAGTATTGTGTTGTGCAGCTGTGTATATTTTAGAACTATATATTCTGAAAATTACAATTCTGAGTATTGCTGCAACAGGTCAATAAACATTAGCTACAGATGTGTAGTATTGTGATGTGCACATGTTTATATTTTAGAATTATATATTCTGAAAATTACAATTCCGAGTATTGATTCAACAGGTCAAAGGAAGAAGCAGGTCGAAGGAAGAAGTTTAGACTAAAGACATGGTTTGTTCTCTCCTAACCTCTCCCTCTAAGGGGATAAGAGCGGCTATAGTTTGTCCCCTCCCTTTGTCGTCAAGATAGTCTCACCAAGTTTACAAACACCTTAATTTCTTACCAACGCATACAACTCCATTTAAAATAAAATCAGGCAACCAAGTATGCAGATGGTTATGACTTCATCAGAAAGTAAGTAGGCATCACATGCACTTGCAACCTGTTTTTTACAGTTGTCAATTGATCAAGTGCCTTGGAGCTTAATTATCTAGAATGGACAGTCAAGGTAATGGCCCTGAGGGTATGGTGCGAACATATTGGCACATATGTTAATGAAGTAAGTAAAAGAATAATGTTCATATGGATTACATTTACAAATAACTTCGAAACCACAACTCTAAAATATGAATGGCTATTTTAGTTCACACCAGGTCTAGGACATAGGATGCATGTATCAGTTAGGCTGGAAATCGAGACAGATGTGTAGTATTGTGATGTGCACGCGTGTATATTTTAGAACTATATATTCTGAAAATAACAATTTGGAGTATTGATGCTACAGGTCAAAGGAAGAAGCAGGTCGAAGGAAGAAGTTTAGACTAAAGTGGAGAGAAGAATTTTACAGCTGCGTGTATCCGGCTGGCTGCGACGGGCAGGGCGGGCTGTACCAGTGGGGATCTCCCGTAGGGATGCCACGCTGCGAGGGCAGGATCCTGGGCGTTCCCTGGCGTCGCTGCCCTGGCGACCTTGCTGGAAGTTCTGTGGCGTCGCTGCCCTGGCGACCTCGGGGAAGGAAGCGACGCTGCTCGCGGACGGTCTCCACGTTGGTCGGCAACAATGGTGATGACATTGGCGATGGTGCGACGGTGCGATGTCGAATTAATTTTGTTTCCTTATTTTACCAGGAGATCAGCGTGGTGTGATGACGAATTAATGTTGTTTCCTTATTTACCTGGAGTACGGCGTGATTGTAGGGGGTGGATGGGGGGTGCTGGAGGTGGAGCACGGTCAGTCAAGGGTATTTCGTAAGTCCACACCGTACAGGCAGCAAATGAATGATGGCTGTTAGATTTAGATGTGCGGGTATAATTGTGTGGTGTTGATTGTTCCGTGCGTTTTGTGTGACAAGTTGCCGGGTGTACTTAGCGAAGTTCTTGTTTGCTTGTTTATTAGTAGTAGAGATGTGATAATTTAGTCCCAAACTTGCAAAATGTAACTTCATCATACTCCAACTTGCACTGCATGTGACGTTTTAATCCCAGGTCAATCATAGCTCGACAAATGGCAGCGAGGTGGCTGGCCCGGTCAGCGCACACACTTTTGCAGAAACCCCCCTGCTGTTTTCTTTAATCAACCCGCACTCACCTCCACGTCGTTGCTCCCCTGCTGGGCCCCGCCGCCGTCGGCCGCTGCTGCCGAGGAGCCCGAGATGGCCGCCTGGTCGGCCGACCTCTCGTCGGCGCTCTACAAGGAAATGGCGCATGTGGTGCTCTGCCTCCTAAGTGTCATGTTCGTCGTCGGGATGGCGGACTTCAGCCGTCTCCCCGGCTGCGGAAGACCAACGAGGATGGACCTCCAGGAGCTCGCGGTCCAGGTGCGTTACACCCTCGTCCTCAGCGCCTCCGCGGCCGCTGGGGTACTCTCCTGGCTCGGCAAGGCGGCCGACGACCTGAGCGCCGCTGGGTGGGACTGGGAGATGCGCGCCATGTTCATCGTCGGCCTCAACCTCACCTTAACCTCGACGTTCATTGCCCTCTCCGCCCTGGTCTTGGAGCTCTCGTGCGACATCGTCGTCAACTACATCATCGCGGCGGCGCTCGTCGGTGCATCTCGTTGCCGCCTGGGTTGTCCGTAGTCGTCTCCGGGCACTGAGAGGCTCCGTCGAGCTAGGTAGGTAGCCAAGAACGAGCCGAGCCGGTGGGACTGTCTCTCTCAATTGATTAGCAGGGTTGTGGTTGTGTTCGATCTCCAAATGATGTGTCCTGCGCGCGTACGTGCCTGGACAAAGACATCAATCAATTTACTATCATTGTTCTTAATCATAGGCCTCGGCATCGACTACGACGGGACGCACTCGGCGCAGACTGACATGTCGGTGGCCTACAGCTTGGAGGAGTACGCGGCGGCCGTGGTCGCCGCCGTCGGCCCCGTCTGCGACCGCAAGGGCGTGCAGCACCCTGTCATCTGCAGCGAGAGCGGCTGCGCGCTGGTGTCGTACCACTCAGTCCTCATCTTCTAGGCCTTGTCCGCGACGGCGCTGACTTCCAACATGATGGACCCGGCCACCGCCTACCTGCTCGACGAGCTCACCGATGACTGCCGCAGCGAGTACCGCAACCTCATGGCCTCGGCCGTGCGCGGCGACTTCGAAACCTGCGGCCTGTACGCGGACCAGCTGAAGCGGCACTGTGCCGAGCAGTTCAAGGAGGGGGTCCTCGGGCTGGAGCACCTCGCCGCCGTGGACGGGCTCTGCGAGATCGTCGCCCGCGGCATGGGCACGGCGGAGGGGCCGCGCAGGTACCACATCAACCTGTCCGTGTTCACCTCGCTGCCGGACATGTGGGCCATCGAGCAGCTCTTCCCCATCATCCCCATCCAGCGCCTCCAGGAGCGGCCCGCCGTGGACGGCGTCCTCTCGGACCTGACCTGCGACAGCGACGGCAAGGTGGACCAGTTCATCGGTGGCAGGAGCAGCCTCCCCCTGCGGTCAAATTTCGTGTTTTTGACCCTTTTTGCAAACAAAATCGGGATCTGACCCGGTTCGGAAAAAATTCGGGATCTGACCCTTTTGTCTACCGTCGGGCCACACGGCGGTAGGCCTGTGCATGCTACCGCCAAAGGGATCTGCGGTAGCCTACTTATTCACGTCAGCCCCAAGTAAACGGAACCGTCTCCTACCGTCCACCCTACCGCCAGAGCCCACGGCGGTAGGCTCTGTAATCCTACCGCTGTAGGCTCTGGCGGTAGGAGCTGAAACCTTATAAGCCCGCGCGGCCGGCTCGTGGGGCCCACCCACGAACCCGCCCCCATCTTCTTCCCCTAGCCGCGGGGCGGCGCAAGAACAGGGAGCACAAGCTCTCTCTCATCCCCTCCACTCCCTCCCTCCGATCTCCTCGTTTGGGCACCATTTTTGCGGATCGAGATGGCTCCAAAACGGGAAAAGTAAGCTCTCTCAATCCCTCCAATTAGTTCTACTCGAAACGTTTTCGATTTGATGCATTATTTGGTGCAAACAAACAGTGGCGGAGCTTGGGCCAAATCTTTGGAGGGGCAATGGGCCAAGGAGGGGCAAAACTATGAGATTTAGGCTATTTTTACTGAACATATGTCAGAAAAACTAATGAGTAGTAGGTGTTTTTTTCTTGGGCTGGGGGGCCACCGCCCAGGTTGGCCCCCATGAAGCTCCGCCACTGCAAACAAACCTATCTTTTTTACTTTGTTTTTATCCTAGGATTTCTTAGGTTGATTATATATGATGTATATAGTTGAATATAAACTCTAATAACTAGTTCTGGAGATTATGTGTAGTTTTGATATGAACCCTAGTTCATCACGAAGGTAGTTGGAGATTAACATTATTTTTGAACAAGTGGTGATGTGATTGATGTTGGAGGGATTGTAAGTAGTTGCTTACATGTGATTGAAATATGTATATGCATTTTTTTGAACAAATGGTGATATGATGGATTTTGATGAATGATGTATATGCAATTTTCTAATTGTTTCAATATACGATAAATGATGAATGTTGGTGAATAATTTATTTACATTGATCATTTATATTGGTTGAATATATGATAAATGATGAATGTTGGTTGAATATGGTTCATTTATATTTGGACTTGATATGTTCATGTTTGTTCAAAATGATACAAGTTGGTTGAAAATGACATAATTTCTTATTGTTTAATTGTTATAGGCGGCCACCCCTTGCGCCAGAAATCGGCGTGAAGTACACGATGCTTGATCATGCTTCCGATAACGGTCACCGCGCCCGTTTTATGGAGAACGGAGTGGTAATGTCTATCGTCAATTTGATGTATTGTTTATTATGACAAAATTAGTTACGAACAATTCCGTTTACATTCTGACAGATGCTCCCCCCATTGCGGATGAGGGGCCACACGAAGGCTGTGCAGATGCAGTACGACGAGCGCTACACTCCGTATTTCAGGAGAGCATGGATGTTGGGTTTCGTTCTTCAGTTCAAAAGGCAGCCGTCGACGCTCGTGCACTCGGCTCTTACGGCATTGATCGACCGGTGGCGCCTCGAGACGCACAGTTTTCATCTCACTTGTGGTGAGATGACAGTGACTCTCGAGGACTTCGGCATGATCACGGCCCTGCCCATCGAGGGCCATGCTCTGACCGGGCGAGTGGAGAGGGCCAACTGGCAGGAGAGGGTGATCGCCCTGATTGGCGACTGCCCTCCCATGAAGGGGAACAGAACATCCGGTGTGCGGCTCAAGTGGCTCCTGGAGAACCTGGCACGAGAGAAGGTATCGCAAAGACAGCGAGAGGAGAGTGGTTCACTGGGACACCTACTGTGAACGCCACCTGAAGTGGTATGACGATGGTGTCAAGTACCGTGTACGCCTGAGGCTGCAGTGGACGGAAGACGATATCGCCGAATTGGAGGAGGATGATAGCGAGGACGAAGCTTACCGTGGCCGGCTCAGAGATCTCGAAGGTGATTTCAGAGAGTATGCACCCCTGATGAACAGAGTGGTAAGTGGTGTTCTCATTTGTTTTGAGCCATGATCGATTTTGAGCCTTTAACATATTGGTTACATGTGCAGGCTTCAGAGCTCAACAGAAGCATTATCGATGGCTCAAACGCGCTTTCGTATGAAGCCGGAACCGTGGAATCCAACACCAAAATTAGGGATACAATGAAGGTAACATCGAGCTCCTTAGCCATGTTATACTATTGCAGAAGCTTGAGTTGATCCTTATTATGTTTTTGGTTGTTCACTATTGCAGAAGTTCATCACCCGTTGTCGCAAGATAGTGGGTATGCTTGGGTGCGCTCACGCGGCCAACGTCCATGATCCTGCTCATGAAGGGTCCATGCGTGCCATTGCTTCATCAAGCCATGCCGGCGGAGCTTCCTCTACTCATGTTGCCTCGTCATCCCGCGTTGTTGAGCAACAAGAGGAAGAAGAAACAGAGGACGGCGAAGAAGAGGAGGAGGAGGACGCAGAGGAGGAGGACGCAGAAGAAGAAGAGGAGGAGGACGCAGAGGAGTACGATGACAATGACGGGCCTCAACCGACGCAGCCAAGCCAGGGGAAGAGGGTATCTCATCCACACCAGGATATTTTGAGCCCATCCCCGTTTCAGAAACCGGTTCCTCGTCGTCGCACGAAGTAACCACTCGTGTTGGTGATGTCGTTTAGTACAACTAGTTGTGAGCAAGAACTTGTATGCTATGCTAGTGATGTCTATTTGGTACTTTCAAGCTTTGTTGGTGATGTCGAATTGCTACTTTCAAACTATGTTCAAACTATTTGAAATGTTAATTTGCTATCTACAATGTGTGCGATCATCCTATTTTGAATTACAAACAATATTTGTTGTGATGTTTATTTATTTTTGATTGATAAGACAAAGAACCAATTTAGAAGTTAACTGGCACATACCCTACCGCCGAACGGGACGGCGGTAGGTGTAGACAACCTACCGCCGGGACCTTTGGCGGTAGGTTGTGGTACCCTACCGCCAACGAGTCACGGTTTCTTCGTCACAGTACCGAAGGCATGTGTGTAGGACCCTACCGCCAAGGCACGTGGCGGTAGGTTGGGGTACCCTACCGCCAACGGAAACGCCATCTTCGTCACAGTATTGAAGGCACAACCTACGGCACTACCGCCGAGCCTTCTGGCGGTAGCCTTAGCTGGATTACCACCACGTCCGGTGGCGGTACGACCGTTATGCCGTGTGGCCTCACACAACGGGGCTGACGGCGGCCGCCGTTAACCTACCGCCGCTCCCCGTGGCAGTAGACTGTACAAGCCTACTGCCATGATCTACGGCGGTAGCGAAAGGGTCAAATCTCAAAAAAAGTTCAAACCGGGGTCAGATCCCGATTTTGTTTGCAAAAAGGGTCAAAACACGAAATTTTGCCTCCCCCTGCATGAGCTCCCCACCCACGGCACCCGTAGCTACTACCTGGGCATGTTCCTGGGCGGCACCTACCAGGAGGCGCTCGGTGGCTTGCATAACCTGTTCGGCGGGCTGAGCGTGGTGCGCGTCTCCCAGAGCGATGGGCCACACTGCTTCGCCGTGACGCGCGCCGCGCCGGGCCCGTCCTGCGCCGATGAGCTCCGCGCCATGCAGCACGAGCCGAAGGTGATGTTCGAGGTGCTCAAGCAGAGGACCACCAACGACAGCGCCACCGCCGCGGCCCTCGCCAAGGCGTTTGGGTCAATGCCGTACATGTCGTTCGACACCGAGGAGGCCTCGGCCATGAGCAGCGTGGAGTCGAGCGGCATGAGCAGCTACTCGGAGGGGTCGGCGGTCGGCGCCGCCGAGGATGATGACGGGGAGTGGGAGTTCATGCGCGGGCTCACCGTGTGATCCACAGTGAGCTTACTCTCCTGTATCTATCGCCGGTCCAACCGGCCGATGATGTTTAGGGCCTGTTTGGTTCCAATAAGTCACCTGACTTATAAGTCAGGTGACTTAAAACCAGTGACTTATAAGTCACGCCTGTTTGGCTGTCACCTGGCTTATAAGTCACCTGACACACCTTCCTACACCAATCAACATCATGCAGGTAATGGGACCCACGCAAAAGGGGGTGACTTATAAGTTTTAAGTTGGGGTAGAGCAACTTATGACTTATAAGTTGGGGTGACTTATAAGTCGGGTATGTTTGGTAAAATAAGTCACTTTTTTCACTTTTCGACTTATAAGTTGGTGACTTATTTGGAACCAAACAGGCCCTTACTTTACCGGCCAACAAGCAGCAGCTGCCGGTGTTATATCGTGTCACTCATGGTCGTAGTGAGGTCGTCGGGCGTCTCGTCGCCGTTTAGTTTCGCTGGAGTTCGTTTTGGCGCCATCTTTTTATTTCCCATGCGTCAGTCCATTGTTTCTTTCAACCCTTTTCTTCTTGGAATAAATAACAAAAGGAAACTAGTAGTACTATGTTTCTTTCGATTACAATTGTTTACTCCAGCTCTTCGTTTCTTCGTGACAATACTCAGTGGATACGGCTGTGGGGGCAGATGGTGGTGTGTGGTCTCAATCTCCTCGATCTTCATCCCTGTTGACTGTAGTTTTCTCTCTAGATTTAATTCAGGTGAAGGTGAGTGCGGGTTGATTAAAGAAAACAGCAGGGGGGTTTCTGCAAAAATGTGTGCGCTGACTGGGCCAACCACCTGGCAGCCAATTGTTGAGCTGTGATTGGCCTGGGACTAAAACGTCACATGCAGTGCAAGTTGGGGTATGGTGGAGTTACATTTTGCAAGTTTGGGACTAAATCATCACATTTTGTGCAAGTTAGGGTACCTGGGGTGCTATTACCTCTTACTACTAGTACCAGTACTACTAGTACTCTATCTACGCTGCTCCATTTTATCACCGCGTCCGCATCCATCTATCCTCGCCTTCACTTTTCTCCAACTGCTTTTCTTTACTCATCCATCACTGCATTCCTCCTCCCATCTGCCGCGGATCGCTTCACTAAGGGCCTGTTTGGTTCCAAATAAGTCAGCAACTCATAAGTCGAAAAGTAAAAAAAGTGACTTA